GGTCTTGCTGGGTTATTGGGCTTAGGGTCTTGATTACACCGTACATGTATGGCAGTGGAGGGGACGTTGAAGTAAGATGTTTAATGAGAGTAGCTTTGCCTCTCAATAGGGACTTCAGTTTTTTGTTGAACTGGGTGAGAAGGCCGGGTCACTTGACCATCTGACCTGACCACCAACCGTGATTACCCTCTCAGTTATATCAGCCAGGAAGAAGTAATTGAACCACCTCCTGCCTCAATATACACATTTCTACATAAAACATTACTCGAGGAATAAAGATGAGAGTGACCAACCAGCTCCACTAAGAACCTGGCAGGCCTCCATACAGTGTACCTTAGACTAACACAACTAACACTTAACTAACAAAAAAAAAAAAAAAAAAAAAAGGTCAGACTACCCTCCCAGTTACACAAGGACTCAAGGGCTCACTAACTCCAACAATAACAAAAATAATAATAATAAGCAGCATTATATAAATAAACCAATATTAATACAAAGGTCTGACGACCCAGGGAGCAGAACAAAGACAAAACACCAATAAGAAAGATGAAGCGATCTGGTTGAGCCCAGATTCTTTCTACTCCTACTGTATTTCAGTTTCACCACTTTTTCTTCAATTCCTAATAATCTTCTTTCACCTCTTAACTAATGACTCTGTATCGTACTCTCTCTAGTCTGTACTCACCCCAAGATGTGAATTACACGAAAGCGCTTGGGAACTTCGTGTTTCTTTCTTTTCCTTGTGGTTATCAGCATATACCTAGATCACGCGCACCTACATATATATATATATATATATATATATATATATATATATATATATATATATATATATATATATTTCATTAGCCCAATAAAGCACGCGGACTTCTACATACAATCAACACCTCAACCCTCCAGGATTCGAACCCACGGCCCACGAGCCCATGACTGTGACCGGGGAACGCGAACAGCTGGACCACCAGGATACTAAAAAGCAGTCCTAGACGTTGTTATATTTTACACAAAGCCTGTTCAACGAGCTTAAGGCGCCGTGAACCTCTACAGTAAATCACTGTAGGTGTGCATGATCCAAGTATATGCTTATAATGAGACAAAACTCACAAGAAGAAGATTACATATAGGTAGAATATTTATAGTAAGAGGAATATAAAGAGAGGAAGTTTGGTAGCGTGACCGGTCAGTTATTTACACTTATATTACGTTCTTATACGTTCTTAAGGGACAACTTCTCAAACACCACTTCGATACAACTATTTATTAATTCACTCAATGACATGAACACATTAATATCAATATTACATCGGAGTTACTAGCACATTATATTTACGTTACTCGACACTGACTCTCGGACACAAACATGAAATGAATACACTTCCCACAGTAGGTAACTCACCCTAGGGATCGCTCTGACAATGACTCACGTGTAACCTGATGGAGGCCCAGTGGGTGCTGGCTGGGCTGTCTCCTATGGGAGACTGCTTAGCTGGTGATGCCGGGGTCTGGTCGGGAAGTCTCCCTCCCGACCTGGGGAGAGGGCGAGCGTGACTCTGTGCGAGTGAACAGAATGACGACCCGAACGGGAGAGAGATGAGTCGGATGAGAATAATGAGAGAAACCAGAATTATCTGAGAATGAGAGTAACCAGCGTATTGAGAATGAGAAATGCCCGTGGACGGGACTGCATGGCCTTTATATGGGGGAGAAACAGCCGGCGTTTGACCTCCGCAAATTAACACTAAACTGGTTAGATCTGGAGAGCTGTGTTTGCCCAGGTGCGTGGTCATGTCCAGGTGTGTCTTGGTTAGGTGTGGTTGTAGGTCAAGTCACCTGCTAACTCAAGTAATTAGCTGACAAGGTCAGGTCCCCTGGGTCCTGACCCAGGGTGTGTCAACCTGGTATGTTGGGGTACCACGAGACTCACTGTTATATGTGTTGTAATTCTCTGGGCTGTAAGCTGTGGACTGATAAACAATCATTACATGCTGATAACAACAAGAAAACACGATGTTCCCAAGCACTTTCATATCTTCAGGGGTGAGTACAGACTAAGGAGAAATATTTGACAAGGCTAATATATACAGTAGAGGAGAGTGAGATCAAGTCCCTAGGGGACAGCAGGTATCCCTAGGGACGCTTACATTTCCAGTCAAAACTACTCAAATAAAAAAAAAAAGACTGATCCAATGGTTAGTTTTCGAGATGAGGCAGTTTTCTCAAACTGTTGTAAAATCTCTAAGGGATCATTCTCATCAAACTTTGGGACCATCTGAGCATATAGGTCACATGAAATACATTTCTTTAGTTTCTAGTTCTTGACTTTGAGCAAGAGCCTGTTCGTCTAAAAGAACAAATTGAAACTGCCGTTCCTTCTTTCTCTTTTTCTCTCTCTCCTTTTCCCTTTCTTCTCTCTCCTTTTCTTTTTCTTCTTTCCATCTCTCAAATATAAGTACCTCAAATCGCCTCTGTTCTTTTTCCAGCTCAAGTCTCTTAACCATCGAAACCTCTGGGGTTTCCTGCTCAATTAAAAGCAAAGCTTCGAATCCTAGAATGTTATTATGCACTAACTCACTCAGTACTTTACACTGAACCTCTTTTTTCTTCCATGATTTTCTACATTCAATACTATACTTAGATGCAATGGCTAACCAATCATCTTTACGTAAGCTAATCGTATTCAAATATTCTACTGATGAAGTAGTAACAAATTCCTCTAAACTGAACTCCATAATGATAAATATTAAATACAAAATACATAAAAAAACACCAATATAATAATAGAACATGAACATTTACGATATACGAAGGTTTGGGAAATTCTTAACATGGCAAACCTCAGCGTTAACTCTTCCTTGTGTTGGGTTCTCTGGACTGATACAACATAAGAACATAAGAATGGAGGAAACTACAGCGGGCCTATTGACCCATACTGGGCAGTCCCGTTTATACCCAACCCCTATTGCTCATATAAGCATCCAACCTATGTTTGAAGCTATCCAGCGTATTCGAGTTAATGATGATATTTGGTAACTTGTTCCATTCATCCACTACTCTGTTTCCAAGCCAGTGTTTACCTATTTTACCCAGAAATCTAAATTTGTCTAATTTAAAACCATTGTTACGAGTTCGCTCCTGGTTGGATAGTTTGAGTACCTTTGTAATGTCCCCTTTGTTTAACCCTGACTTCCATTTATACACCTCTATCACGTCGCCCCTCACTCTACGTCTCTCGAGGGAGAGCAAATTAAGATGCTTTAACCTGTCTCTGTATTCAAGGTTCCTAATGCCCGGGATTAGTCTTGTCATTCTCCTCTGGATTCTTTCCAATGATTCTATATCCATTCCGTAATACTGTGACCAGAACTGAACTGCGTAATCCAGGTGAGGTCTCACAAGCCCTAGATATAATTTTAAGATGACGTCGCTAGTCTTGTAACTAACACTCCTTTGTATGAACCCAAGTACTTTATTAGCCTTGTTACGAGCAAAAACACATTGTTTACTTGGCTTAAGATTCCTACTTATCATTACTCCTAAATCTCTCTCGCAGTCGGATTCCACAATGGCATCGTTGTTCATCTGGTAACTGGTTTCCCAGTTTACATCTCCTATACTGAGTACACTGTTTACCATGGAACGTTTTCAAAGACCTGTTATTGTCAAATATCGGTGAAAAATAACTTAATATAATTAATATAAACTATTTATACTGCATATATGAAACAATTATGACAAAATAACTAAATAGGAAGTTTAGTCAGTTCGAGAATTTAGCAATTAGCAAAACAACAGTATTAAACCTACAATTTAATTAATTACAATATACTGTATAGTACTTAACCTAACGGGAATCAGGAACAATACAGCAGAAACATAAATGAAAGCAGTTCACACAATACAAATAACAATGTACTATGGAGGAGAACGGGGTGAGACCCACAGCCGGCATCCATACTATCTCGGGTGGTTAACCACAACACCAAGCCTCTAACCAATAGATGGCGACTGTTGTAACATTACATAAAATACTCGACAAACAGAATTTCAGAACTAGAGTATACAGTACGTACTGGCATGGCAGTTAGATTAGCAGTGATACAAAACAAGAAATCCGTATTTTTTTCTGAATTATATGATTTGAAGGGGATGATTTCATATGTATTCCCAGGAAATTAAGAATCTGTACTTGCACCCCCCCCCCCACCCCTTCTACCCACAAAAAATAGCGTACTTGACGCCTCTACATGCCACGAGCAAAATATGGATACACAAAAATGATAAAGTACATTTATATTGCTAAAGCACTTGTTCATAAGTGTGTCCAAATTCCAGTAACCTAGCTTTAACTATGTGGCCGGAGAGGCAAGAAAACAAACAAGTAGTGGTATGTACACCCCCCACACCTTGCCATAAACAATACATTGTATGAATAAAAAATATATATATACCAAATCACATGGTGACTATTGTGTCAAAATTTCAGCTTCCTAGTTCCAAAAAGTATCCTACAAGAAAACAAAGAATCAAATGGACCAACTACTGAGTTCCCCTTTTTTGGGAAAACATTTTTCGGGGCACGCGCTTTGTGCGGCACCTGGAGAGGGTATGGAGGAGGTGGAGCAGTATACGACAATATGCTTCCTTATCTGAGTGGTCCTATGGTATTATACGAAACTCTAGAAGTGCCCAAATACCTTTCATAGCCCGACACGTTGTATTAGGATTTATTGCTCATATTCCCCTGTAAATTATTATTGTTAACATCATGTTCTTCTTTAACCTCTGTAAAACTGAGTATGATATATTTATTTTTGTATAATTTTACCTTGGTTTAATGTAGAAGAAAGTGTCGGTGTTGCCAATTGTTTTAAGCTCTCCATTGTTTACCCAAATGAGATGATTCGTTAGAAGGATGTTGCTAGTTTATTTTTGTTTTGCCGACTTTAAATAAAGGATGTAATAAATCCAACTGTGCAGTAATATGAAAACTCTTTTGGCAGGATAATTGAGCGTGGTCTGAATGTACCAGGCCTGGTGGCGATCATACTGTTCTACTTGGTGATTCTTGGGATTGGCCTTTGGTCAGCCTGGCGCAGAAGAGATGCCTCAGGGACAGAAGAAGTTATGCTTGCTGGCAGGGACATTGGTATGTTCGTCGGCATGCTCACCATGACAGGTAAGTGGAAAAGTGACATTCTTTGTGTAGGTGGTATACAAAGCTGCCTTTATTCCAGTAGAACCCATAGTGAGATGACTTTCAGTATAATTTTGGGATATTATACTATATTTAAAAAGAATATTCAATAAACAACATAAAACAAACATTGCCATCCACAAAGTTGATCTCACTGTGATGATGACGTAAGTGAAAAACTAAATAAAAAGAAATCATGTTCTAGTTCGTTATTCATAAATGACAATTACCTTCGAGCTGAATGGTTGAAAACAGCGTTGGCTAAGTGCAAGAGAGTGTTTGAGATCATTTGGCAACCTGAATGTAATCTGTAAAAGATTTCCCTTACTCGCACAAATCCCCTTGTCACTGGTTCACTATAAACCTAGCCTAACCTGACCAAGGCTTCATTGCCTCCATCATTATTGAAATTTAATAACTATAACCCGCTATTCAATAACGAATTGTCCGGTGACGAAATGTCCGCCCACCATTCTCACACCCGTTTACCACTTCGCTTTGCCACCCTGTGACCATGTGCATTTCTTACCCGTTTTCTCTCTTTTCTTATTTTATTTCCCATTCACTTACTCTCGCCATTTGACATCCTCAACCTCTTTCTCACGAGTCATTACTCTTACTTTCTCATCTTTTCATCCGTTTCCATCATACTCACACTGGCACGCTTTTACCTCACTCCCTCCAACTCCCCAACGCTCTCATCAAACTTTTCACTCAATTCACATTTTGTAACCCCATACTTACTCACCGACTTACTGTTGCCCTTTCACCCCCATCTGTCTCCCCCTTTCCCACTTCCTTTTCTTCTCCCTCTCATTCCCACTTTCTTTTCCTCTCTTTTCCTTTGTCATTTCTCCTTCCTGTCTTTCCCTTTTCACTTCCTTTTCTTTTCTCTCGCATTCTCACGTTTCTTTCCTCTGTCTCCCTTTCTAACTTTTTCTTCATCTTTCCCGTTCCCCACTCTCCCTCACACCTACACGCTAATGTCACCTGCCACCTCGCACCTCGTCCACGTGTTTGCTGTTAATAACACAATGCACCTAGCTACAAAACCAACTCCTTCCCAACCACTGTAAAATTTATTAGTAATTTTTAAATATCTATGTTTCTTTACCCTTTTTGTAATGAAAACCTTTGTAATATGTCATTTCTGTCCATTATATATTTTTAGCCATTGGCTGATGTATATTTTCGACATACCTTTAACTAATAATAATAATGATGATAACAATAAAATTAAAAATAATAAAATAAACAAATAATGATGATGATGATGATGTGTTGATGTTGAGGTTGTTTTTTCATTAGCATTATCCAGTATGAAATCCTTTGATCGTATGTTGGGGGTAAGTGTGACTAGCCCATAAACATTGATAAAATCAACGGGTAACTTTGTGATGGTAATTACAATTAATTGCTTATCGGAATATATAAATGAGGGGAAAGGTTTCACGTGTGTTTCATTGATCTAAGGTATGTTATTGCTCAACTTGCACTTGGTTAACACTGAAGCCTTACTATTACACGGGAGATTAATGTGGCGTCTAAAACAACAAAAAACAACCATGGATAGTAATGTGAAATATTCATGGAGTTAGATTCAAAGGCGTAAGCTTTTTTTTTGGGGGGGGGGGGAATACTTTAGTTAAGAAATGTGAATAAAAAAAAAAAAAAAATTAAACATTTAATTTTTCATGTTTTACGTATCTTGAAAACATAATGTAGCGCCCAGGCACAAAACTACGTTATTGTTTGTTTACTGTAATTTATTTTAGGTAGTTTCCATTGATATTTATATTGATATTGAAACAGTTTATTTAGCCAGAAGAGCACAGATACAGATTCGATTAAAAATCATAATATTAACATGGCTGAGTTCTCTTGTAGGCACCTGATATATACTGTACATTTATCACAAGGAAGTACAGTATTATGTAACATTTAGTATCAATTGGTAAAGTACATAGCATGGTGGTAATAAGAACATATCAGAATGTTACCACGGTTATTTCTTCAATATTTATTTATTTTATTTGTTTTATTTTATTTTATTTGTATTTTTTACATTTATATTATAAGTATATACATAACTTACAGTGGAACTGAAAAACATAATATGATAAGGGAGTACAACATGGGTTGTATTAAGGTGGAACAAGAGGACAGAGCTGTCAGGATTATATCTAGTTGGCAAACATATTTATTGCAATGGTAATTTTTATCTATTTACATGATAATTTCTGATAATACGGTTTTGGTGGTGCAATAAAAACAGGTATATAAGGTAGGTATTACAAGAAATATTAATACTTAGACAATAGATATTTTTTAAGAGATGATTTAAAGGAAAGCAGCGTAGTCTTTGCTCGATGGGTGGGGTTAGGTTGTTCCACACCTTCACACCATGACATTTTATGGAGGTCTGGGACTGAGGGAAGTGCATGGGGATTTGTCTTAGTAGCTCTGGGTGCCTTAAATTGTATCTCTGATTATTCCGGAACTGGAAATAATTATTGTCAAGCAAGTGATTGACAAATTTGTGAAAAAATAGGGCACAGAAGTAGGTGTTAATATCCTCGAATTTTAACATTTTCAATTTAGCAAATTGTTTGTTTGTGTGATCATTTTTTTTTTATAGTAGGTCATTGTCCGGACAACTCTCTTTTGTGCAGTAACTAGGGATTGTGTTTTTGAAGAGCCAGATGCCCCCCATAGTGTGTGGCAGTGTATCAGGTGTTGGTAAACAAGATTATAATAGATTTCTTTCATTATGTAAGAGTGAGTGGCTGTCGAGTGTGACATATGACACCGCACTGTTTATTGACTTTGCTGTGAATGGCTTGAATGTGGTTTCTCCAGCAAAGTTTCTTATCAACAATAACCCAAGGAATTTAGTATTTTGTTCACGTTTGAAGACTGTATTATACCAAGGTACAGGGGGTCCAATTCTGGGGGTAAATTTTTTCCTTCTGTGAAAGATCGTGTAGTGTTTTTTTTTTTCTTCACGGTTTAAGGTCAATTTATTTCGTATTACCCAGGTCCTGACTTAAGTCAACAGTGTTCATAGTTCTCATCAAGGAATGGAAGTCTGAGTTGCAAATAAGTTGTAATTTACGAGTGTTCTGGCGTGGACTATATCGTTTATGTACAACAAAAACAGTACCGGGTCCGAGAATAAAACCTTGACGGACGCCATACAAAATTGGTGAGGAGTCAGATTGATGATTATTATAGCAGACATACTGCTTCCTATTAGTCAGATATGAAGTAAAGCAATTGTGGGACAGGCCACATTATGGTATGGTCGACAGTATGAGAGGCTTTCGAGAGGTCCAGGAATATACTGATTGGGAACTGACTGTCATCAAAGGAGTTTAAGATGTCATTAGTAAAGGATATCACAGCACGCTCAGTCGACCTTCTAGCACTAAATCCAAACTGAGAGTTTGTAAGAATGTTATTGACATTGCAGAAGGAATTTAGTCTACTACATGCTAACTGCTCTAGTATCTTACTTAAGGCTGGGAGGACTGACATGGGGCGGTAATTCTGGAAAAGACCTTTGTCAACAGATTTTTGTTATGCTGGGTGAACTTTAGTAATTTTCAGTTTATCCGGAAAGACACCACTAGCGAAGGAGGAGTTACAAATGTGTAGGAGAACAGGGAGTAATAAGTGGGCTACTTTCTTAATGATGCTCATTGGTGAATTGTCTTCGCCTGCTGCTGCATCTTTGGACATTTTTATGATGCTCAATAATTATAATTCATCTACTGTGTCAGAGGATAAGATCAGCTCCTTTTGCTGTCTATTTTGCAGGTAGGCTCTAAATTCCTAATGGTGATCAGGGATGCTTTCTGCAAGATTTTTGCCAACATAAATAAAATAATCATTGAAGTGGTTGGTAATGAAGGGGTGTTCTGTTACAACTGAATCATTTATCATAATAGCTGAATTAGGGGCCGAAGGCTGAGTGTTCCTGTTCTGAATCGAATTTGTGATATTCCAGGTTTTCCTTCTGTTGCCTGATGCTGACTGGAGCTTATTTGTACAATAGCTACGTCTGGCATTTCTAAGTGTTTTAGTTACTCTATTTCTGATACTTCGATAAGTATCACCGAAAGTTATGGATCTTTTTGCAAATTTCCTTTGGAGTTTGTGTTTTGCTTTTATCATTGCCTTTATTTCACTTGTGATATAGGGTTTGGAAATGGAAACAGTTTTCACTGACTTAGGTTTGAGGGGGAAGCATTTATCAAAACAAGCTTTGAAGATGCAAGAGAAGTTGCAGCAGTTCACGTTAAGGTTGTCATAGGCATAGACAAGATCCCACTTAGCATTCATTAAGTTTTTTTTTCAAAAAAGGAGCATGTTGGGACTCTACTAGACCTTTCAGATCTTGTGGCTGTTTTATACATGGCAAAAACTGGGAAGTGATCTGAGATATTGTTATAATAATTCCACTTGCTAGATTATTAGGAGTGTTATTAGTCCAGATATGATCATCACAATGGTAGAGATGACAGTTACTTTAGTGGGTTTTTGTTATAGGATTGAATAAGAGCTTAAAATGACAGGTAGCAAGAAGGTCGAATAATGAGGTGTCGGTTTCTGATTTTAATAGATCAAGGTTGAAATCTCCTGTAATGTAGCAAAGTTTCTTTTCTGTACTTATGATAGAGATAAGCTCCGAAAATATATCAAGAAAGTTCCTTACATTAGTGTGGGGTCTTCTGTAGATTACTTCTACGTGGCTATTTCATGTGTCGTTACGTAATTCAGTTAAAACACTCTCCATGAATTCCTCCTGAACCTTTAAATCTTCTCTTACAGAAGTGTTATACTTGTGTCGTGACGTGTTGACGCAGTGTCTATTATAATTAGGAATATTATACAAATGTTCAATATCGTTAGTGAGTTTGATCTCACAGAACCCAAGTACATCAAATTTGTGGGCAATAGAAGATATACAGTACACTGAG